ACCTGCTGGAGATGCTCTTCTTAATGCAGCCCAGGATTCCATTGGCCTTCTTGGCCACGAGGGCACACTGCTGCCTCATGGTCAACTTGTCGTCCACCATGACACCCAGGTCTTTCTCTGCAGAGCTGCTCTCCAGAAGGTCAGTCCCCAGCCTGTACTGGTGTCTGGGGTTATTCCTCCCCAGGTGCAGAACCTTGCACTTGGCCTTGCTGAATTTCATGAGGTTTTTCACTGCCCAGTCGTCCAGTCTATCCAGGTCCCTCTGGATGGCAGCGCAGCCCTCTGGGGTATCAGCTACTCCTCCCAGTTTGGTATCATCAGCAAACTTGCTGAGGGAGCACTCTGTGCCTTCATCCAGGTCATTGATGAATAAATTGAACAGGACTGGACCGAGGACTGATCCCTGGGGGACACCGCTAGCTACAGGCCTCCAAATAGACTCAGCACCACTGAAACCAGTGAAACCAGTAGAAACCAGTTCTCCAAGGAGGAGCAGGGTGTAAGAGTGAAGACCCAAAGCATTTGAGTGCAGAGTGGAAGGACCACCTGTCTCCTCCAGAGGAGGAGGATCCAGATGGCAGAGCCGGCAAAGAGGTGGATCAAGTTTTCTTCCCAAGAAGTGAGCCCGTGTTGGACAATGTTGTACAACACTGTCCTGGCATGCTGGAGGCCCAAGGCCAGGTTGCTGCAGAAGTACTATGGGTGCTTTCTTGGTGCCGCATGGTTGAGATCCCTCATCAACAGACCCAGGCACAGGAGAGCTCGATTCATTACCATTCTCAGGTAATTCGGTTGGTAGAGGCAGGTGAAAGGGGACAGTGCTACGTACGTGTTCCTCACCTTCAGGCTGTTGTATGCAAAATCTTAATGGTCTGAAGCCAATTCAGTCTTCGTCTTGATTACCTGTGAGGATTAAAAGGACAAATCTGTGTCTGAGAGAGGCTAGGAAACTGGCATGGTAGCTGAAAAAGCCCACCATGGGCCAAGCAAATAACCTATTACAAGTAGAAGCTCCCTCCCAAATAGTATCCTTCTCCTAAATCATGTCCCTTATCACTAAAGTAATAAACCCAATCCCAACCCAGCTTTTGCCAGGACAGTTCAACTCAAACTACAGTTAATTCAGTGCAACATCACTTCTCATGCCCTAAAGTAGGGTCATAGAAATGCAGAAAGGACAAAGAGCCCATGCAGCTCCTCAGGGACTGGAGGACTGGAAGAAAGCCAATGTCACTCCAGTCTTCAAAAAAGGCAAGAGGGAGGAGCCGGGAAACTGCAGGCCAGTCAGCCTCACCTCCATCCCTGGAAAGGTGATGGAGCAGCTCATCCTAGAGACCATCTCTAGGTATGTCAAGGAAAAGAAGGTGATCAGGAGTAGTCAACATGGATTCACCAAGGGAAAGTCGTGTCTGATGACCGTGATAGCCTTCTACGATGAGGTGACCGGCTGGATGGACGATGGGAGAGCCGTGGATGTTGCCTACCTCAACTTCAGCAAGGCTTTCACACAGTCTCCCATAACATCCTCATAGAGAAGCTCAGGAAGTGTGGACTGTGAAGTGGATTGAGGACTGGCTGGATGGCAGAGCCCAGAGGGTGGTGATAAATGGGGCCGAGTCTGGCTGGAGGCCTGTGGCCAGTGGTGTCCCCCA